CCAAAATGTCATATAGAATCACATCTATCATATTGTTTCATTGTGTCAACACATGATGTAGTGAGAGCATTTTACTATGGTCAGTCAATTGTGTATTAGCGTTCTTTCCAACGATGTAACTAATTTTTTTGATGTTCGAGCTGCTCTAATTTAACTTGTTATTTTTTTATGCAGGCGAAGAAGTCGCTCTAGTACTCCCCGCCGTCATAGGAGTCGATCGCCATCTTGTAGATATCGCAAAAGCAGGTCTCCAACGCCTAGGCGACGCAGAAGACAGAGAAGTAGGAGTTCCTCATTGTCTCCTTTACCGAAATCTCGCAGTTCTAGCCTTGCATCAGCAGAACGCAAAAATGCCATTGAGAAACTAAAGAAAGAGGAGGAAAAGAAACGGTAAGACGCAGAGTCCCTTTTTTTTTTTTTGAATAAAAGAAGATTCGAATTAAAAAGTACCAAGGGGGTACCGCCCAATATACAAAAGGATGTTACATGTCAATTAGTATATTAACAACTGCTCCAATATCCTCCAAGGATAGTAAATTGTGACCGAAGAGTAAGGAGTCAAAATAGTGTAACCATCTATTTCTAATATTTAGAAGAGTATTTTCAATGTCCTTTACAGTACGGTTGTTCCTCTGTTTCCACAAAATCCAGAAAATAGAGAGGGGGATAAGGCAAGCAGCTTTGTTGTAAGAAAGTAGACCTTCCTAAGCCAAAAATTCTTTATGAATAGAGTCCGCCATTACCCATTTAATACCCATCAAGCTGTAGATCATATTCCGTAAATCTGTTGAGAAGGGGCACTATAACAGAAAATGGTTGCAGCTTTCAGCGTTGCATTTGCAAAGGAAACACCTGTTGACCAAAGTTCTTCCTCTTTTCATCAAATTATCCGAAGTCAGAATTTTCTCCTCAGCCACTTCCCATAAAAAGAAAGCAATCTTGGGGGGGAGCCATTGTTTTCCATATAGCTTTAAACGGAAATGATAATTGCTGATCGGAGTTGTTCAGGTCCCAAAAACCAGCAATTTTATTATAAAAAGAGTTGATGGAAGACTTGCCATTTTTACTCAATTTCCAGATGAGGGTGTCTGGAGTGTCTCTCAAATGAACACAAGCCATCATAGAGAGGAAATTCTCAAATTCCTCCAGCTCCCAATCGTTTAAGTTCCTGTTAACCGCAACACAGCAGTGACCCGAACGGTAGAGCCTCTTTATTAATTTGAACATAGGTCATTTTCACTAAATTAGACATATGATTGTTTTTTTTTTTTCAAGCTTTAGGTGTTCTTTCTTCTTTTCTAGAGAGAGAAAATCCTCTCTACCTCAGGCTTTGTGCCATCTTCTTCTCTGGTTTTGGGAGTTTGTACTTGTACCTTTTCCACCTCTAGGAAAGTTCTTGGTGATAGAATGGAAGACATTTGGCTAGTATTAGAAAGGGAAGTCAATGATGGGTGATCAACAAATTTAAGGGTGTTAATAAGGGCTTTAAGTTTAAGTCCAATCTACAGGTTTAGTTTTTAGTGAAAGGGCTCTGGAGACCGACTTTGTTAAGTCAGCTTCTTCCTCAGCTGAAGGCAGTTCCAGCATGTTCGATCAGGGAGACTACTGTTTTTGTTCACCTGATGAAGATGCTGTTGAAGAGATAGCTTCTGCTCCTCCTGTTCGCCATGTTCCTTGGGCTTAGTTTGATTCTCTACCTTCCGGGACCGGGAATGGGGTTTGGATTAATCTGGCATATTGGAGGATTGGAGAATCTTAGGAATTGTGAATGAGGCTAGGAAATGTGATGTTTCAGAGAAAGGAGTATCTACTTGAGTTACAGATAGTATAAGGAGGTTGCAGAAATTGTTTGAAATGAGTTTGGAGGGCTGTGAACAGCAAGTTCTACATCTCTTCGACGTGTAAAGGAAAAAGAGTACCATCCTCTTTGAAATGTCATCAAATGATTGACTCCCTTCGTTTAAAGATTGTCGCCTTTTTCTTCATTGAGATTACCCATGATCTAAGAAAATAGCCCATTTCAAATGCATCTTATCATCCTTACTCCATTCAAGACTACATGAAGAAGTAGAGATGAAGATCCTTTTTCATAGAAGGTGGAGATGAAGATCCTCAAGTTGGAACAATACACCCAAGAAGCATAGCAAGAAGAAAATAATCTAGTCTAAATCCTCCAGGTCGTCCTACTGAGGAGAAAGAAAAGACTGTTGTTTAAATTGGAAAAACACATCAAACAAACATATGGAGATAGCACTTTCAAGGTCTACAAGTTTGAAGCAAGCTATCAGTGTTGATCTTATTAAAAGGGCTCTTATGTTATAGAGGATTTAAACTGTGAAAAGGACAAAAGCTACATTCTTATTACTTGAATTCTAGCTGGTGGACTTTCAACATCCACTAAATTTTCTTACAAAGCATCCGCTTCAATCAAATTGAGCTGACTTTGTTTCTAAAGAGTAAAAGGTATAGTATTAAGGAACATCAAAGAGATGCAACTAATATACAAAAACCTTACAAGTCTATCAACATATTAATGTAAAGAGGATAACCCTTAATAAAAAAACCTATATCTGGAACCAAATCTCCTTGATCCTATCAAAAGACTGCTCTATACCCTTAAAAGCTCTTATGTTTTTTTTTTCTTCCATATAACATAAGGTAGTTAAAGAGATAAGACCTAAATTTCATTGTAGCTTTTATTTCCGTGGATGTCTTTCCAAGCCCATATCTCCTCTTTGACTGAACTTGCCACAACCCAAATTCACCCCCCATAAAACCACAAGTTGAACAACAGAGCTGGTAGGAAAAAGAATACCAAAAGAGGAGATAGTTCATGGACTTTGCAGCTCTCTTACATGACTAGCATCTATCACATTGACCTTCCCCCTCTCGACTAGATTGTTTATAGTAAAGATTCAATTTTTTTCCTGCTTCCCCTGCAGAAAAGACTACCTATAAATGCTTTGACCTTCCAGATCAATATCCAATTGGAATTCTTCATTTGTCCTTCCACTTGTGGCAAAATGGAAGTAATAAGATTTTTTAGAGAATGTCCCTTTTGGGATAAGGTTCTAAACCATTTCATCCAAGGCTCCAGAAAGTCTTCCCTATTGAGATAGACACTGAATTAAGTTGCATATTCATTCACCTCCCAATCATTGAGATTTCGTATTCAGTCCATCGCCCATACTCCATTACCCTCTAATTTTGAGAAGGATTCTACAACTAGTGCCTCTTTCTTATGACCGAAGAAAAGATCGTGGGAAAACATTGCTCTAGTTTACCACCCTCCATTCATCCAACCAAAACCTCACCTTTTTACTCAAACCAACCTTCCACGCTATAACTTATTGAAACTCCTATTTCTCATACTAATTTTTTTCATAACCCAATGCCATATGGGTTTCTTAAATTTCTGAGATACCACTCAGATCTGTTAATGCCAAACTTAGCTATGATTACTCTTCACCACATTGTCCCCTCCCCTTATGAATTTCCAGAGCCACTTTTCTTACAAGGCTTTGTTGAATCCAAGTAATGACCTAGTACTATAACTGACAGTTTCTAATATATAACTAACAGTTTCTAAGTCCCTAAATTTAGAAGTACTCTTGGTGATCTAGCGACATGGTACTTGGTTGTATAATCTAGTATTTTTTGCCTTGTAATTAACTCTGTATTTTGTCTTTCAAAAAATCCAGTGTCTTTGGACACACATTTTTCTTTCTCTTCGCTCTTTTAGGAAAACATGAAGGAATGCAAAAAATTTATGGTACTTAAGGAATTGGTGCATATCAATAACGCTAATAAATGTGTGCATATGTGCTGCCTGTGCAGGTTTTTATAGGTATCAACTTACATTTTTTATTAAGGTCTTTTTCCTTGTCAAAACTATGATTATGCTGAACATGCAACAGGTTAGTTTACATACTTCTCTATGGTTTTCTTATGGAAGCTACTAGATCTTGCAACTTGTTATTTTTGACGAACAATTGGTGACTCCTTTAACTAATGTTCACCTTGAAACTTTGTTTGTCATGGGACAGAAAACTTACTAGAGAGGTATGGGTTCAAAGCATAAGCATGTGTTTGTTAAGTTGATGGAATGGAGTAGCACTGTTACTGTGGATAAATCAGTTTTAACTTGTTTACCATTGCATTGTAAGTAATTGAGTTAATTTTCCATTCTTGACCTTTGGCATGTGTTTTAACAGACGTCAACATGAGGCCGAACTGAAACTACTAGAGGAAGAGACTGCAAGAAGACTAGAGGAAGCGATTCAGAAAAATATTGAGGAGAGGATGAATTCTGAGGAAGTTAAAGTAGAGATTGAGAGGCGAATAAAAGAAGGCCGGCAGAAATTGTTTGACGATGTTATGGCGCGGATTGAAAAGGAAAAGGAAGCTGCCTTCACTGAGGCAAGGCTGAAAGAAGTAAGTACCTTGAACTGAAGCCATTTATTCCAAGTGGTGCTTCCGTATTTCTGTTTGTTGCAAACTTCTGGAAAATTGGTAGCTATTATTTTCCATCAAAGATGTATTCATGAAGGGAGGAAAAGGTAGTTAAAAAAGGGCAATAGAGAAAATACAAGAACAAAAAGCAAAAAAGCAGAAGGATAGGCCAAACTCAACACAAAATAGCAATCTGGTGCCTGAAAAGACAGATCTATTGAAGTTTTGGATCTTCTCCCTATTAACCTTAGTACTGATGTCTGTAAGATTATCGACAAAATGCTTTAGTTGAGTTTGGGAGAAGTGTTGAATGATTATTTCTATTTATCAAAGTGCTTTTTTTATCAAAGGTAGGGAAATTCTTGATGCTTCATACAATTACTAATGAAATAGTAGAGGATATTAAGATGTCTAAAGGCCAAGGGCTTTTTTGAACATTTGATATTGAGAAGGTGTATGACAGGCTCAACTGGAGTTTGTTGGAAAGGTATTTGTATAGTGAGTAGGATAAATAATATATCAGTAATATACCCATCTTATATAATTAATAGTGTTTTCTTTTTTTTTTTGGTATAAGAAGAGGTAAAAGTCAAAAGAAAATTAAGAAATCATCATGGGCTAAAAGACACTCATGATATCGTCAGTGAGAAGTTGTTGGAGATCATTCGGTATTTGAACATGAGAATGGAGGCTCATCGGTAGAGAGAAGCTAGCATTCGTCAACCAATCAGTGCATTTATTCCCTTCGCGATAAACACATTGGATCCAAACTTACCAATCCTGCAGTAGTAAGTGTTTGATCTTATGAACGAGAGCGACATGCGCATTAGTACCACAATCCTCCTTAGGGAATAACTGCATCGTCAGAGCACTATCCATTTCCAAAATGATATTACAGAACCCGATATTCCAATCGAGTTGAAGACCATCGAAGGCACCCCAAAGCTCGGCCTGAAGAACAAAGCATCTACCAGTTTTTCTGCTGAAGCTTCTCAGACAAGCACCATAAGTCTGCCATAGCAAGCGAGATTGATTGCAGCACGATAAGCACCATCAGTATTTACCTTCAACCAACCCCTGGGTGGTTTCTGCCAAGTTACAAGTTCTTCCGACCTATGCACCATACTTGAAAGAAAACAAATATTCATATTATTAGTTATAAAAATATAATCAATCATGAGGGACACATTCTTAACAAACTCATCAATACTGCTCTCACTCTCTTGAAAAACAAATTTATTTCTATAGTTCCACAAGCTCCAACAAGTAAGGCCAAATATCACTCTCCACTCCTGAAATGTCTTGCACTAAAATCAATTATTTTTTATGTTCAGCACGAACCACTTATCTACAGTACCACTGAAGAAAGTTGATTGGGCTTCAGCAGATATGATTTTCAACCATAACAGTTTGGCCACAATGCAATTACGGAGAACATGATCCACATCCTCAATAAGGTCGCCACACGTATTGCATTCCGCAGTAGATGACATGTAACGTCAGTATCTCTCTCAATTTGTCAAAAGCTTCCCCTTAGCTGCCAACTAGAAGAACGTACGTACCCGTTGAGCACTTGACTAACGCCAAATGTCTCTCCAATTTCCATCCTTCGGGTGCCAATGATCGCTCTCCAGGAGGGCGTAAGCCGAGCTAATCGAGAAGCAACCCAGAGCTTGTCATACACCAAAAGCAGGAGTCCGAAATATTGTCATCTTTAGGAGTCAGTACCGCTGCCATCTCGAGCAGCGTATCCATCGGTAACACCTGATGCAGAACCTCCCAATCTCATTGGTCGGACGACACCACGTAGTACCTGACAAATATATGGAGATCCTGCTCATCAATAGGCACGAAAGCCAAAAGTTTAAGTGGTCCCAGGTCCCCTAACCAGCAGTCTACTCAAAACTTAATATTTCTCCCCGAACCAATAGACTATTTGATGTCAATTCGAAGGTCTGTCCAGAGATGGTTAAGGTTGCGCCAAAGATGGGAGATCGATTTCGTCGGCTTATAATTCAGAGATAAGTCAGACCGTCTGTACTTATGGGTGAGACTTGGACCCATAGGAGATTGGGCTTCGCAACCATAGCAAAGCCCAATTTCATCAAGAAAGATTGGTTTTGCTTATGGATAGATCGAAGGCCGCTTCCTCCAGCGTCGTAAGGCATGCATATGTCATCCCAACTGACAAGACTGATTTTTCGATTGTCATTCTGCTGGCCCCAAAGAAACTTACTAACCACCGCTTCAATCTGATCACATAAGGATTTAGGCAACGTCGTGGTCTGTATAGCATAATCAAGGATAGTCATGAGGACGGACTTGACCAAAGTTAAATGCCCTGCAAAGGAAAGGAGGTTAGCATTCTAGGCAGATAACTTTTGGTGAATCTTCTCAAGAATGTAATGGTAAGTATTTTTATTGATTCTATCATGTAACAGTGGAATGCCCAAATACTTACTAAAATTAGTAGAGATTTGAAAACCAAACACTTTGCTAATACGACTAGCCTCACCCGTGTTGACATTGCGAGAAAAGAAAGTATTTAGTCGCATTCACTTTGTGGCTTGAGCTCGCACATAATTTCTCTAAAACCTTCTTTATAACCTGAGTCTTGTCATCAGCGGCTTTCCCAAGAATTGCCAAATCATGCGCAAAAAAAGGATGTGAGAGGGCAGGGCCCTTCTTACCAAGGCGGATCGACTTTCACATACCATTTCTTACCAAGGTGTTGATGCAATGGGATAGCCGTTCCATACATAACACAAATATGTAGGGTGAAAGCGAGTCCCCTTGTCAATGCCTCTAGTAAGTCAGAACACTTGGGTGAGAATACCATTCCACAACAATTGCATGGAGTAAGAGAAGATACAATGGATGATGACTCTGATAAGGTTAGGAGGGAGACCAACATCAAGCACAGTGTCCTCCACATATTTCCAACGGATGCGATCATAAGCTTTTTCTAAATCCACCTTAATGGTCATCCACTTGTCTTTCCTCCGCAAATACTGCATAGAGTGGACCACTTCTTGGGCAATAATAATGTTATCCGTGATATTCCTACCGGCTACAAAACTAGTTTGGGTAGGGCCAATCAAAAAATACATTAGGTTCTTGAGTCTATGGGCAATAAGTTTAGTAACGATTTTATATAAAATTAACCGGACAAAATTCTTTAATAATCTTTGGTCTTGTAACTTTAGGTATGAGAGTAATAAGAGTCTTGTTAATCCTAGCAAGTAACTGTTCGCCATGGAAGATACCTTTGACCATTGCGCAAACTGACTCGCCTACAGTCTCTCATTGGTTCTGGAAGAACACCGCGTGAAGGTCATCCACTTCAGGGGCATTCAACGGGTGCATGCTAAATAAACCGTCATGAATTTCATGGTTTGTTATCTTAGAGTCTAATTGAGCAACCATAGTAGCTGTTAACTTTGGGAACAAGCCTCTAATAGGGTAATGTGGTATGGGTCGTTCTTCGGCTGTATAAAGGTGCTCAAAGAAGGTAGAGGTCATTATCCGAAGCTTGCTTTCATCAGTACTCCAATTACCATCCCCATCCCTAAGCATACGAATTTTGTTCTTTTTCTTTCTAAAGATGGTTTGAGCATGAAAGTATTTGGTGTTCCTGTCTCCCAGAGAAATCCAATTACATTGGGATTTTTGCTTTCAGAGCATTTTTTCTTGCAGTAACATCCCCTCTAATTCCTCTTTCAAAAATTTCTCCAGCTCTTGGAGCCTAACAGAGTGACATCTTTCCAGTGCCCGTTGGATCCCATTCAGTCTTGACAGGAGAATGCATTTTCTCTTAGTGATATGACCAAACACATTTCTATTCCCGTCCTGCACAATCTCGTTGAAATTACTAATGTTCTCCTGGATAGGGAGATGGTTTTGCTAATTTCTCCTAACCAAGTTAGGGAAATCGGGATGGGATAGTCACGCAGCTAAAAACCAAAAGGGCTTGGGGTCCTTATTGTGAGTGTGACGGGTGTAAGGGATAATTAGGAGATGCCTATGATCATATTGCACTTTTGGAAGGTGGTGAACGATGTCCTCCGGAAATTGGTTGAACCACCTCTGGTTACAGATAGCTCTATCAAACCGTTGAAAAAGGGTCCCACGTCGTCATGTAAAATTTAGTCCTACATAATCAAGCTGCTGCAAGGAATTGACATTAATGAAATGGTTAAAAAGAGCGCAACCTTTAAATTGTTTAGCCGCCCCCCCTTTTCTTTGGTCGTCCGCACCCAAGATAACACTGAAATCCCCAACAAGGAGCAAAGGGCAATCCATGTGATGCCTGATAATGGTGAGCTCCTCCCAAAAGTCATAACGTTTATGAAGATTTGGGCTCCCATAGACAATTGAGAGGGAGAAGTTCTCTCGACTATCATTCCTGCTAATCCTGGAATGAATAAACTGGTGGTGATTGTATTCCACATTAACCAGGATAAACTCTTTCCACATCATCCAAATGCCACCCGATAATCCAACTACTTCAACTCTGTGAGAGTAGTCGAATCTCAGATTCTTGATCATTTTATCCGCTTTCTCGTCTGCAGTCCTAGGCTCCAATAACGCAATCAAGGCAGGGTTGTGGATATTAACAAAGGACTTAAAGGCGCGCCGAAGACTAGATTTTACTGCACCCTAACAATGCCACAAAAAATAAGCGATCCATAGGGTAAGGATAAGGGAAAAAAGTTGATGCTCAAAAAGAAAGATTATGCTTGCTCCTTCTGAAGGGCATCAACAGCACTTGAAACGAGACTTACGTCCTTGTTGACAAGCTCTTGGATTTTGCACATAAGGGGGTTGATCGTAGCGGAAGTAGTGGGTGTAGGTGTCTCGCCTTTTTTTTTGGCCTTGACTTATTTTTTAAAAATCTTATTGATTTTTATGCCTTTATTGATACCAAGTCTATCCGGCGGTTTGACTGCCGACCTGAAGCGATCTCTTAAGGAGATTGTTGGTGACACGAAGCTATGGGAGGAGGCCTGATTGAGTTCGTGTTCTTGGTCCCGCCTATCTTTAATTATTATAACTGTATTATTCGAAAATTCTAGCATAGTAGTATCCTGATTTATTACAATCTATTCGTTATAAGTCATTCCTTTGCCACGGGGGCTGATGCGTCCCTTTGTCCCACTAGTTTCTCTGGTCATATTAGTCATAGGCATCACATGTCCAATTGTGGGCTTAGTATTGGCCAGCATGGTAGAATCTATGATTTCAGGGAAGGCATCCATCTTTTTCTGATCACTGCCTTCCACCATTGGCGCTTTTCCTTTGTTTCTTGGGGGTTGTCTCTCATTTGAGATCCCCACTTGTTTAGGGATTTTCACCACTAGCCAATTTAGTCCTTCTAAAGCTTCCTCAATGTCCGCAATCATACTAAATCTTGATCAATTCTTACTATTCTCTCTTGGAATCTTTGAGCCTTTACCTAGCAAGATAGGGCTCTTCCTTTCAACTTTCCTCCCCTTGCGTTGGACTTGCATCCAGAGACCATAATTTTCATCTAGTGCTGCCACATTATCCTGTTCACCATGAGCTGTGCTCCACTCTTGATTGACTCAATCTCCGTCTCAGCATTTTTCTTGCACTGGTCTTTAAGATGTCCATATACTTCGCAGTCGTAGCATATAGTAGGCAATCCCTCACATTCCACTCTCTGTAGGCACCCATCCAACATGAACTTATAAATGAGTAATTTGGTTAGATCAATTCCAATCGCCAATCGGGCAAACTTGCCTTGTTCAATGGATTCAATGTTATAATAAATGCGAAACACCTTCCCTATCACTCTGGAGATAGCTCTGAACACACTCTTATGGTAATAATGGATGGGGAGACCAACAAATCGCACCTAAGCCACCACATTAGTGACATTCGGATTTGCAGTAGAGAAACTAGGGGACCAGGGCTGCACCATGAGGTAATGGCCATATATAACTCACGGGCCATTTGTAAGAACATGTAGGTAGTCCTCTATTGAGTGGAACTTGACCATATAGTAATTATTATCTAAGTTAATCAGGTGTAGTCGATCATTAGGCTTCCACAATCTATGAAGTTTTGCCCAGAGTGCTTTATACTCAATCGGCTTCCCAAGCAGTCGAATAATCATTGTAAGTTTTATATTTTGTGGTAGGAGGTTATGCACCTTATCTGAAAAATTGATTCTCGGTATTCCATTCTCTAAAGGAGGCTTTCACATTCGGTGCTCCCTGCAGCGGAGAAGATTTTCCAAGGTGTGTGGTTTGCGGTTTTTCGCTTTGCCTAAGGTTCACCGCCTCTCTACCCATTCCATATGACTCATCCCCAATCACAGCATCCACCATAGTTTCATCTTCAAAATCCAACTTTTCCGCTCTAGACCGGAGCAAGGTTTGGGGCACCAGTCGGGTCGCACCAGAACAGGGGAAAGTTGTCTCTTATTGTCGGCTTACCTTTAACCTGCGTTGCCTCCATCATCGGCTCTTCCTCCACAACCACCACTTGAATTGCGCTCGACTAGGTCTGGAACGCAGGTCGGGTCACACCAGAACAGGGTTCCACCGTCCTTGTTTTCGAAGCTCCTTCCATCGGCATTGTAGCCAGACCTTGTTCGCCTACCATCGATGCGAGGTGGTCAGCCCCAGATTGGGTCGCATCGTTCCACCTTAGGCGACTCGCTTCCGGGTCAGGCAACGCCTCTTCTGTTTCCATCTCTCCTTCCGCCATCCCTTTCTCCATCCTCTGTTGTTCATCAGGAAACGGAGAGTGATTCTCCTCCAGCCTTATCTTAACCTTCTTCGTGGACCGATTGGCTTCCGGGCAAGGCGGCGCCACCACTTTCTCCGTTAAGGCGATGTCGAGAGAGAGCAGCATTAGGGTTTTTAGTGTTTCCTTTTATTGTTCATAAAAACTTGTATATTAATAATATATTCCGCTCATGTAATTAATAGTGTTTCCTTTTATTGTTCATAAAAATCTGTATATATAGGGTTCTATTATTCAATAAAAATTCATACTTCATTTTCCACAGAGTTTCTTCGACAAAGTCACATTAAGACTTCGACAAAGACTAGGAAATGTCTTTCTTTAGTATCTTGGTATCATTGTTAATAGCGAGCCTAAATCTGAAATTCTGAATCCTAGTTTCATGGGCAAATGAAGAGTGAGGCATAGGGATAATCTTTAACCCTTACGTTTCACAAATGTTGTAGATGTTCTTAGTCATATATTATTGCAGGAACATGAAAGAGGTTTGATAAAAGGCTTGTGTTTTGGGAGGAGAACATTGAGAATTCTTGTTAACCATGATATTGTCTTATTCCTCTCAGATAATGACTGATGTGTGAAATATTGCACTCATTTTAGTCCTAGTTTATGAGAGCATTTTGAGGTTACACATCAATATTGCTAATTTGGGGGATGATACCATTTCTAGACTTGTTGAGTTGATTGTACGTGATGTGTTATCTTGGCCTATCACTTATCGGGGAGGAATGTTGAGTTGGGTTTTCTGGGATCCTCTGGTGAGTAGGGTTTCTAGGAGATTTGAATATTAGGAGGGCGATTTGTTTTCTCTAGTTGGTACCATTATCCTTATTATAATTGTTTGTCTAGTATTCTCTTTTTATTTAGGATCCCTTGGCAGGTGGCTAAGAAACTTGAGAGGATCATGAGAAATTTTTTATGGTGAGCAGGTAAGACCTCAAGATATTGTTTGGTTAGATGGGATGCCCGATATTTTTCCAAAGAAGATGGTGGTATGGGTATTGAGAATCTTATATCCATAAACTTGACTTTATTGGCTAAATTGCTTTGTTATTTTCCATTGAAATCTTTTTCTTGGTTGCACAAAGTGATTAAGAATAAGTATAGGACATCTCAGTCTATGATCTCTTGATTCCTGTTACACTCCTGTTATCTGTTTAAAGTCGGTGATGGTTCTTGCATATTTTTTTAGAAGATCTCTAGGTTGGTTATTCCCCTTTGCTATTCTTTTCCCTTACCTATGCAGCATTTCTTCTTTCACTTTTTCAATCATTTGGATGGTCAATGTCTCTTTGAATAGCTTTTTCTTCTAAGATCTTGTGATTGAGAATATGATGCTATGATTTCTTTGTTCCCTGAGCATTTTCTTGTCTCTTCAAAACAAGTTGTAGAATTTGGACCTTACATTTCTCTAACTTGTAGAATTGCAAGTTTGATTCCTTTAATATGTAGAATTGCAAGTCTCTTTTTCTCTCTCCCCCCCCCCCCCCACACACAATTCTAGTTGCCATAATGAGACTTCCAGTAGTGCATTTGGTCTCGAAAGTTTCCTCAAATGTTAAAGTTTTTGTTTGGATTGCTGTTGTGAATAGGCTCAACACTAATTGATTTGTTACAAATTTGCAGACCAAATTGTGTCCTTTCCTCGGAGACATATTGTGTTAAGCGATTTAGCTTTTTTTTTTTGGCAATGTGAGGTGGCTTGGAGGCTTTGGTTTTGGGCTTTTTGATATTTTTTATTTCATGTGAGTTGTCCTCCATTCTCTTCAGTGTTTCCTTTCTATGTTCCTTCAACTTTCAAAGAGGCAGACAGAAGAAAGAAGTTAGGGTGCTTCATGCAGGAGCTATCCTCATTGATTTTGGAGTGTTGTGGTTAGAGTGTAATGCTTAAAGGTCTTCAAGAATTTTTACTTTTAGTCGTTCTATGGGGTAAAATAGTTTTCTCTATTTCGCACATGATCTCTTTGGGAATGTCTTTGTTGCCGTTTTGCCAAATGACAGAGCTACACTGTTGGCTTGATGCATCTCTTTTCTTTTCTCATCTTTTTGTTGTTTTACGAGGATTCCTTGATTCTACCTTTTTTTCCTCTTTTTAATAATACTTCATCAAGTATATGAAGAATTCCATATTCTTTAGTAATGATTATATTGCTCTCTTATTTTTTATGTTGAGATGCCATTTCAACAAAACAGGATATGCCATTTCAATGGACTTTTTTTCATTTGGTGGATACAAGATTTATATATATTTTGACAACTTGCAGGAGCAAGCTCGGAGAGAGAGAGAAGAGCTGGATAAGATGCTAGAGGAGAACAGGAGAAGAGTGGAAGAAGCTCAGAGGAGAGAAGCATTGGAGTTTCAGCGGAAAGAAGAGGAGCGGTACCGGGAATTAGAGCTTATTCAAAGGCAGAAGGAAGAAGCTGCACGTAGAAAGAAGCTGGAAGAGGAAGAGGAACGTGAAAACCAGACAATGCTGTCGAATAAAAACAAATCTCGACCTAAGATGCCATATGGTATAGGTCTTTAATGATTACTGTTTTACCAAAGTAGCGAAGTGTTGTTTGTAATATGTAGCATCTGTTAGATCTAATTCTGTTATATTCTGATTCATTTTCTAGATCTTTAACTATTTAAATATGACAAATTTTGCCTTGATAGGTTTCATATGATAAGATGAGAAAATCAAAAATTCACCATTGTCCAGAGTTACTAAAACAACAGTACATAAGAGTCTTCACTGTTTCGGTTGTTAGAACTATCACGCACAATTGGATTTTTCTCCTAGTATCCGCTTTCGAGTGATAATGAAAGCACTTAAGCTCCTACCATTTAGATTTTGATATAAACTTGTTCTTATCATTCTTTGCTTTCTTGTTTTCCTTCCCCATCCTTAATGACTACTAAATTTGCTCAATGTCTACAGTTGTTCAGATATATTCTTTTGTAGTTTTTGTTTTTTATATACTTCGAGGCTTCGATTGCATCGGTTATTGGAATTGTCTCTCTACCATATATGGTCATATTTAACATCTCCATTTAAAAAAAAGGTAGGAGAAAGAGAAAAAGACAGTAAGGGCTTGATCCTTATCATCTATTTTCTTTATATTCCACAAATCAATAATGATTCTGTTGAATTATTAGCTAAATTTTTTAACACACTACATTTCCTCATTCATGAGGAATATAAAATCATTTTCTTGTATATAATTGGTTTATGTGAGATTTTCTTTTTGTTCATGTATCTATTCTCTAACTTCTTCAATCCAACTCATAGAATTTATCTCACCTATCTATAACTTCTCGTAGAACTCTATGTAAATGTTATACGATAAATCTTAAAATAGAAAATACTCCAAAACGAAAAAACATTGCAATGTTGGAGAATTTGCTACGATTATTCATTCCGTTGTCATTTCTTCATTTTCGAAATCGTAACGGTGAAAATAGCAAAAGGGAAAATTGACGTTGGACCTTTTGGAATATTAATCTTCAATCTTAAGTTAATTAAAAACTTAAAGACACAGAAAAGGTGAAACCAAATCAATCATATTTTGACCTACCAATTTGACAGTAACCTAAAACATGATTTATCTAACCTAATTAATTACCCATTTTAACTTTAATATTCAATTTAAAACAATTAATAATTATTAAATGGATTTGTGGGTAAGAACATATAAAGTTGGATTCAAATTCTAATTTTTTTTCTCTAAACAGTTAACCAGTTATTCTCTTAATTAGGTGTTTAATTATAATTAAGGTGATATGTAACATGTGAGTCTTGGTCTAATTCAAGTGGTAAGCTACCACCAACTCATGTGACAAACAAGACCATATATCAAAATATTATTCGAATTTAAATAATATTTTCATTTTTTTATTCAAGTTTGTGAATTTGCACAACCTACATGAATTAAATTTTAAATATTAAATATTAAATCATTAAATTAAAAAATAGAAAAAAAAAATTATAATCAAACAGAATATATCACAAATTCACTTGGACCCTAGACAACACAGAATACCAAATGCATATATATCGGCAATAAAATGAGTAGGGCAGAGGTTATCATTAGAAGTAGATAGAGAGAAGAGATGATATTGCAATAATTGAGAGTTGTAATGATTTAATGTTCTGAAGTATTAGTGGACCTGATTTGGCCAACTCCTTTCTTTTTTTCTTGTAAAATTTCTGAATATATGTATATATATATATACATATATGTGTGTGTGTATATGATTACAGAATAGTATTTGAGTAAGAGGTTTCTTCACTCCAATGCCTTAGCCCGTGAGCCCTACTTGTCAATTTTCATCTTCTTTATTTTCATACACCTAGCAAGTATGGCTTTGTTTTCCTTCTCCCATGGAGCTAAATGGGTTTGGAGAAATGATTGCTTCTCCTCATAATATGTCCGATACACTTTAAAATATACTAATAATGTACTACTAATAATTTTTGTTATTCGTTTAAATTTTTTAAATTATCTGTTTTAAATATTTTCTACTTTTTTTTAAATATGTTCATAAAATAATATTTCACATTGATAATATATCTCTACGCTTAAAATATAATCAGAAATATATTATATAAGGAATAAGTTAATATAGTGATCAATACGTTTCTACATCTTTGCGTTACTTGTAATGTGATAATTTTATTTGAAGTTATTAATTTCAACACTAATATACTCGAAATTTTACTCCAGTTTAGTTCTTTACATAATAAATAGATGAACTCAAATTTATATAACGTACTTTGAACGACTACAAAGTAACCCTCATAAAACTGTCATCACCCTTTTCAAATCGTCATTTCTTATCTTTATCTCACTCTTCTTTCTCCCAACAATGTAGCGTGGAATAAGAATTTGTAGTTGATGAGATGCTAGAGATTCTCCATTCATTCATAGGCGATTTTCCAACCAAGGTTCAAGTTTCGCTAATTTTGTAATTCTTAGTTTTCGTTATTAACATTATTATTTATTTTTTTACAGTGATAGTTACTTATAAATTAAAAAAACATTGATTTACTCTTAATACATAAAAATTATGAGAAAACCATTTATTATAGTGTTTTTTATTTTTATTTTTTTTAAAAAATACTTATAAATTATTTTCAAAATCTAGAATTGCTCATTAAAGAATTACGTAATACTTTAAAAAGGAATTATCTTTTGACAATTAATGTTATTCAAAACTAAAATAAGAATTTGTGAAGGCATATAGATATAGTCTTAGACATATACGAAACAAAGTTGTTAATAGTTTCCCACCAATGTTTAACTAGTATACCTTTTAGGCCACCAACCGGATCTATACAATACACATGACACCATCCTAAAATATATTTCGTATTAATCAATGTTAATGAGGAAAAATACTAGCCGTTGATGATATATATGTATGTACATTGTACATGTATATATATGATTTAGGGAAGAAGAGATCATTTTCATGAATTGCTCACCCGGGTCGTACGTCATTTGTATATACATGCACCATATTAGTGATCATCACAATCATGCTCAAATTCCTTACCCAAAATGTATACGATCAAAATATATATATATATATACATATATATTATAAAAGAACTTCATTAACAAAGCTTCATATATACAATTATAGCTAATACCAAAGTGAATTAAGAACTAACCAATATCCCAACTAATTTGATGACTACTCATCTCTCAAGATATTTATAGGTTATTGGCTATGAAAAATTATTTTAAAATAATTGATACGATATTTTATATTTATTAATTATTAAGTAATCCTTTATATAGCTGAATAAATTAAATTATTGATGTTTTTATAAAATTATTAATAAAAAATATATAGACTACGGAATGATTTTCTTTAGTGATTTTCAATCCTAAATTCCTAAAAATTATAAGTAAAATTGATATTTCATTACCTATAAGGGAAAAATCTAAGAGAGAGAGAGACTAGAGATTTTAATGATTAAAAAAAAAATTGTAGAAGAACATTTTAGTGTATGGATGTATAGACATATGCATATGTATATATATATATTATTAATAGAGAAAGAAAAAGAAAACATTGAGAATATTACGTGTGTGATACACTGATTTCTTCTTCTCTTGACGGAAATGTTGTAGGGTAATTTTTTGAGCCTGTTGGATCTAATTTTCTTCAACAACCACGCAAGATCCGCCCAATATTTCACTTCCTCTAACCTCCAAATCTTTCTTCATTTTACTTTCGATCCTCTCCTCCATTTTTGAGCTCACATCATCTCTAAACCCTTTCTTCTTCAAACCCCTAATCCTCCTCCTCACCACCTTAATAATATACAATGCCTTCGTTACTTTCTTTTGTATTATTATTATCAGTAACTTTAATGGCGTTACTTGCTTCTCCAGCATTTTCCACGTCTAGGGGAACTTTAGAGCGGCCGCAAGTCAAAACCCGGTTCAGGGTCAACCTCAAATATGTCGATTCCGGGAAGAATCTGACAAAATTTCAGCGTATACAGAGAGGAATCAAGCGCGGGAACCACAGGTTGCAGAGACTATGGGGTATGGCTCTAGACTCAAACGACGTCGTTCAAGCCCCTGTTCATGCAGGAAACGGTGAGTTTTTAATGAAGTTAGCCATCGGCACACCACCCGGGACTTACTCCGCCGTACTCGACACTGGAAGCGATCTGATATGGACTCAGTGTAAGCCATGCACCGACTGTTACGATCAGCCCACCCCCATTTTTGACCCGAAAAGTTCTTCTTCTTTCTCAAAACTATCTTGCTCAAATGATCTCTGTAAATCCCTACCTCAACCAACATGCAAAAATGACTGCGAGTATTTATACACCTATGGCGATTACTCTTCGACGCAGGGGATTTTGGCCCAGGAAACCTTCACGTTCGGCGACGTCTCTGTCCCACATATCGGGTTCGGTTGCGGTCAAGACAACGAAGGCGATGGGTTCAGCCAAGGCGCAGGTATAGTGGGTTTCGGTCGTGGACCATTGTCACTCGTTTCACAGCTCAACGAACCACAATTCTCTTACTGCCTGACATCCATTGATGACAACTCAAAAACCAGTACCCTTTTCATGGGACCCAAAGAAAGCTTCAACATCACGAAAACCGAATCAATCAAGACAACCCCATTGATTCAGAACCCATCACAACCATCTTTCTACTATCTTTCCCTTGAAGGAATCACAGTCGGCGACGCTCGATTACCCATTAATCCATCTACTTTCGAACTCCAAGAAGACGGAACTGGCGGCGTAATCATAGACTCCGGCACAACCATAACTTACTTAGAACAGAGTGGATTCGATCTGGTGAAGAAAGAGTTTACTTCTCGGATAAATCTCCCCGTCGACGACTCCGGCGCGACGGGTCTCGACGTCTGCTTCCGTCTGCCGGCGGATTCGAAAGACGTGGAGGTACCCAAGTTGGTGTTTCACTTCAAAGACGCGGACTTGGAGTTGCCCGGAGAGAATTATATGATTGGAGATTCGACCATGGGAGTTCTGTGTTTAGCAATGGGAGCTTCCAGTGGGATGTCTATTTTTGGTAATATCCAGCAGCAGAATATGTTGGTCACGTATGATATTGGGAAGGAAACGGCGTCGTTTACGCCCACGCAATGTGATAATTTGTGAGAGTTAATTAACCCATTTTTACAGTTCAGTTAGTTTGTGTGTTTCTTCTAATCTCGGGTGCTTTTTTTTTTTTTTTTGTTTTTCGTTATTATTTCTTATTAAATGGATTCTTGTATTGATGTGTGTAAAATGGGTTCTCAATAAAATCACCATTTTTCTACTTTATTTACACAATTATGTAAAAAATTATTAAGTGTTTTAAGGGTACAAGTACATTAAAAGACTCTATAAATACAATTTGTAAAGTTTAAATATAATTTTTCATAATTTTTTATATAAAAAATCTATTAAGCAAATGTAATAATAAGAGGGCCATGAAATATTTTTTAAAGAAAAAAAAAAAAAAAAAAAAAGAAGACCAAGAAATTTTCCATCTTGGGATATATCATCAAATTAAAAAAAAAACCCATTAAATAAATATTAATGTATATAATTCCATTGTCATTAATATATTTTTATATTCTAAAGTAAGAAAATGATA